TAAGAATACCTGCTAGAAAGTCCTAGTCTTGGGTTCAAATCTCAGTAGCACAAAAAATGCAAATAAATCAAACAAAAAACTGAAACATATACTCTGATATTCAATTAATGACCATAATCTTCAAAGTTCATAGGAGGGTAAAGACCCTTGAACACAGGCTGCATAGGAACGAAAATGGTTACATCTGGCCAGTCTGGATGTCAGAGGCCTCCAGAAGGAAACATGACAGCCAATCCAGAGATTCTGCTTGTAGTAATGTGTCCTACTAGAATAAGCAAGCAAGTATAAAGAAAGATGATTTTCACTTGCAGAATTACCTGTGATGGCAAGAAAGGGAAACAACCAAGTGCTGAAGGTTTAACTACAGGATATGTGTGTACAATGGAATGTTCCAGTCATTAAAAATGATGATCCTGGGCTGGGAAGGTGGCTCAGTGGTAGAGCACTTGCCTTGCATGCATGAGGCCCTGGATTCCATTCCTCAGCAACACATAAGCAAAAAAGCTGGAAGTGGCACTGTGGCTCAAGTGGTAGAGCGCTCGCTGTGAGCTGAAGAGCTGAGCGACTGCGCCCAGGCCCAGAGTTCAGGCCCCATGACCGACAAAAAAAAAAAAAAAAAAAAAGAATGATGATCTTAACCCTATTGTATTGCTGGTGGGAAAGTACACTAATATAACCATTTTGGAAAGCAGTCTGGAGGCACTTCAGAAAGCTAAATATAGACCTCCACTATGACCCAGCCATACCACTCCTAGGCATCTACCCTGAGCCACAGGGACAAAGATACAAGGACACATGCACCTCCATGTTCACTGCTGCAATATTCACAATAGCCAAGATATGGAAACAACTCAGATGCTCCACTACAGATGAATGGATCCAAAAATTGTGATACCTATATACAATGGAATATTATGCAGCCATTATAAAGAACAAAATAATGACATTCGCAGGGAAATAGATAGAACTAGAGCAAATCATTCTGAGCAAGGTAAGACAAGATCAAAGAGACAAACAGCATCCGGTCTCCCTGATATATGGATGGTAAATCCAAAATGCAAGGAGATACAACAAAGTAAATAGGGCTAAAGAAACAAAGGAGGGTCTGGGAAGGTGGCTCAGTGGTAGAGCACTTGCCTTGCATGCATGAGGCCCTAGGTTCGATTCCTCAGCACCACATAAGCAAAAAGAAAAAAAGCTGGAAGTGGCGCTGTGGCTCAAGTGGTAGAGTGCTAGCCTTGAGCTGAAGAGCTGAGGGACAGCGCCCAGGCCCAGAGTTCAGGCCCCACAACCGGACCCCCAGAAAAAAAGAAAGAAAAAAGAAACAAAGGGCATCTAGTTAATTTGTCATATAATTTCTAAATGACTCCATGTTCTTGACCTCATAAATTATATATATTATACACATCTGAGGGAGGCTAGGGGGAGGGCACAGAATCAGAGGGAAATGGGAAAAAATACAACAGAGGGGCACATCAGCTGCACTGGACATGAAAATGAACTAAGTGACTCAAGGGCAGCAATGGGAGGGAGGGAAGGAGAGAAAAAGAGGGAACAGCTAACACAAAGTAAAAGAAGAGAAATATAGATATCACCCAACGCCGAAGAAATAATTGTACTGTTAAAGCTTGTAGAATTCATAAACTTTATAGGCCAAGATAATGGCAATTTGCCTTGTGAAGGTTAAAATGTGTTTGTAATTTTAACTAAGTATCACTATCCTACAATACTGTGAAATTTATGTAATCATTTAATCTCAATAAAAATTATTATGAAAAAAAAGATGATCCTTCAATCCTACCTACGCAGAAGGCTGAGATCTGAGGATCACGGTTTGGAGCCAGCCTGGGCTTTTAAAAAAGTCTGTGAGACTCTTATTTCCAATTAAGCACCACAAAAGCCAGAAATGGAGCTGTGACTCAAGTGCCAGCATTGAGTGAGAAAGCTAAAAGAGTGCCAAGGCCCTGAGCTCAAGTCCTAGGACTAGCATCAAAAAGAAAAAGAAGAAAAAAAAGATCTTCCCCACAACTGACATGTTACAAAAATAATTAAACTTAATGGTGGTTTTCAAAAGATTTAAAGTTTGTTCTTTATAGTGTTCTGTCTTGCCTACATATATTTATATATAAAAATAGAACCACCCTGCTTGGTATTAGTAGCCCAGGGATAATAGTACTGTGGGGGAAGAATGATGTCTCATTTCCTGAGGGACAATGTCACTAGTCTCTTTCTTCCCCACTCCATCTATCCCTCCATCCTTTCTCTTTTCCTCTTTCTTTCGTGGTACTGGGGTTTGAACTCAGGGCTTTGTTGTAGGCACTGTACCCTTGACCCATCCTCCAGCCTGGCAGTTTCTTTTGACCTAATGTGTTCTCTGTAATACTGCTGTCATTTATAAAATTACATTTTTCTGGATATGACCTAGTCCTGTTATATCAGTTTATATGATAAAATCCTGAAGCACATTGGCTGAAAATGTGATGTAATGATCAGACTATAGTTCTGTAATAAGCATACACTAAAGGAACAATCGAGTGGCAAGTATCTTCTTATTCTAAATGCATTCAAATTAATTTCTTAGAGGATTTAGTTCAATGGTTCTCAGTGGGAGTCAGGGAGTAGATGGGTGGGGAATGATTTTTTCCCCACAGGGGACATTTTGCATTTGACATCTGGAGACCATTTTGCTGTCACTCTAGGAGTACTCTTGGCATCTAGTGGGTAAAGGCCGAGGATGCTACTGAACAACCTGTATGCACAGGACAGCCCCACAGCAAAGAATCATGGGGCATCAAATGTCAATGGGTTTACCCATGCTTAGGCTGAGCAACTCTGATCTAGAAAACATCCAGCAAAAATCTGCTGCTGAGTATCAGAGGAAGCAAATTTATAGAAGTGAGTAAACTTTGAGATACATTCATGAACAGCAGGTCACGTTCATGAACCCTATTTTTATGATATTAGTTTTCTGAACTCCTACAGCAAATGCTGTGTGTGTGTGTGTGTGTGTGTGTGTGTGTGTGTGTGTGTGTGTGTGCAGTTTAAAGACTTGTTTTAAAAGTGTCACTCTGAAGCATACCCAAGATGTCAAAGATGTACATGATGGTTCCAAAGGTCTAGCCAGAGACACATGGCCTAGAACCCACTAAGAAACTCCAAGAGGGGCTGGGAAGATGGCTCAGTGATACAGTGCTTGCCTGAGTTCAATTCCTCAGCACCATATAAGCAGAAAAAGGCTGATGTGGTGCTGTGGTTCAAGTGGTAGAGCGCTAGTCTTGAGCTTAAGAGCTCAGGGACAGTACCTAGCGCCCAGTGCCCAGGCCCAGAGTTCAGGCCCCACAACCGAACAAAAAAAAAAAACAACCAAAAAAAAAGAAGCCCCAAGAGAATCCAGGCAATGACTATATTAGTTGCTAATAAGCTTTCATATCACAACTTGAATGATATAATCTATCTATTACGCACTTTCTTTTGTCTAGACAATCAGGAGTAGAGAATTAGTCTTAGTTGTGGCCATAATATTGGTACCAAGGTGTAGGAATACTTTTCTACGAAAATAACACCTCCCAAAAGATGAGTCACTACCCCAGGGCAAAACATTTCATTTATGGATATCCATAAATGACTATTGACATATAAATATTTATAGGCAATACTAACACAGAGCCAAGCTTTTTAAGTGAAAGACTAAATTTTAGGTTTGAAGCATGTGACAGAACCCTGCCTTCAAAAATATATTAATTATGTTAACTGTTATTCCTTAGGGAATTACAACTTGAAATGAGTAAACATATATATGTATTTTGGGGGCAGATGAGAAAATAAAGTTCATTTTCAAGCGCTAAACTGTGCATTATTTCTTTTTTGCTCAAGGCTAGTGTTCTATCACTTGAGCCTCAGCTCAACTTCCAGCTTTTTGGTGGTTAACTGGTGATAAGTCTCATGGACTTCCCTGATGGGCTGGGTTTGAACCCTAATACCCAGATCTCAGCCTCTCAAGTAGCTAGGATTACTGGTATGAGCCACTAGCACCTGGCTTTAAACTTTGCCATTATTTAGTAAACTTGTTTGCCTTAGTTTAAGTCAAACTAAAAGCTTCTTTTAAGCAATAAAAGCTGCAATATGAAAACACTCATGGAACACAAGGCCTGCCTTAATAGAGTGAGCATAGGATACGCTCTCAGTTGTCTGCTTAGTCCATACCAACCAAAATGGTTCCTCCAGTCTTCTGTGAGAGACTGCTAACTGGTTAAGGGAAAATGCTACTTTCATATTCTCCCAACCCAAATTTTAAGAGGGGAAAATAAAGAGGAAAGGAAATTTCCCTACTGTGAGGGGTGGGGGACTAGGATACACAAGTGTGAGCCTGTCAGACAGAACATAGAATCTAAGCTGCACAACAATATATGGAGAGAAAGACTGGACCCTATTCCTTGTAGGCACCTGCTCTGAAGCCAGCACAGCAGCCCGCTTGCTCAGGGACAGGTAGAAGCCCCCACAGAAAGGAATGTCCATGGATGGCCCTCCAGTTACTTCAAAGGTAAGAAAATAGGCAGGCTTACGAGGCATGTCTCAGCTTTACAGTGCTTCCTGCTGATGCCCATTGGCCCTAGCCTGGTTCTAGGTTTGAATAACTCACCTCCTGGGTTTCCAGCACCTTAATAGCTTTGCCACAATGGGTGACTCAGTTTCTCCTGAGCTGTTTAGTGGACAAACTGTTGCAGGCCCCCTCCTGTTAGATAGGATTCTAAAGTCCAGTCTCAACCAAGCCTGTGATCCTCAACAGGTCTTCCTTTGGGCTGCTGGGTTCTTAGCAGGATGTCCAGAAGAAAAACTGAACCAGGCATGCAAGCCCTAAGGAAGGATGCTGGAAGCAACACTGAGCACAGCCCTCAGCTCACAGCAGTCTGCCCTGACAAGTCATCTACATGCCTGGGCCAATGACAGTGGATCTCAAGCCCAGTGGGCACAGGCCCAAGTCTATTCCCAGCAGCACTCACCTTTAGGATGGGAACAGCTGCTCGACAGCGTGCGGTCTTGCTATTTTTGAGGAAGTGCGATTCATCCTGAAAGAAACAGCCATACGCATGAATGAGAAACAGTCTTGAGTTGCTGGAGAGCTCACCTTAAGCCTGACCTCAGCCAGGTCTAGGAAAGGACCCAGGGCTCAGGGCTTGTACAAGTCCCTTCATCTCTCTGAGGACAGTTTTCCACTTTACAATGAGGATAGTAAGCCCCCGCCCCACCTCTCTCAGCAGCTCTCACATCTGCATGACACAAGAGTCAAGAGTGCTGATAGGTCAGATGCTAGGGGCTCAGGCCTATAGTCCTAGCTACTCAGGAGGCTGAGATCTGAGGATTGAGGTCAAAGCCAGCTGAACAGGAAAGTCTGTGATACTCTTACCTCCAATTAACCACCAGAAAGTGGCACTGTGGCGCAAAGTGATAGAGTGCTATCCTTGAGTGATAAAGCTCAGGGATAGTACCCAGGCCCCAAATTCAAGCCCCAGGACCAACACAAAGAGAGTGCTGAAAACCTACTGTACAAAGCTCTGGGTCCAGAGCCTGCCCTTTGTGCTCCAAGTAGAGCAAGGTCAGGTACGCTGACAACTGCCCAGATGATCAGTACTGTCACCATGGCAGTGTGCACAAAGCACTATGGGAAAACGAGAAGAGGAAGGAGAAGATGTTGTGATTTCTGTCCTCCAAGGTGTCTGACTGCTATGTGGAGAACATGCAATTTGACTGTTTGCAGCTCTGTATTCTCTGTGTAAGCAAGCATAGAATTTTTCATATTTTCTAAACCCAGCTGAATAACTAATATGTTATTAGTGCCTGGGGAGAAACTTCTAGGTTGGCACATTCTGACTCCTTGCTACATGACTCTGAGTCACTAAGTGACCTTTCCATGGTGCCAACCTCTCCATCTGTAAAATGGTTATAATGCTAATCCTTAATATTTCAGGTGCCTAAAAGTTTTAAGTAGACTAACACATGGCAGCCCTGAGAACAGTCTTGCCACTCAGTGAGCTCCCTTGGGACTAGAATACCGGAGACATCCCATTTTTGTCCTTGAGGATACTCTCTAAACCCTCCCCCAACCCCATTCCGTTCCATTTCAGTTTGGATGAACAAAAGGACTCAAAAGCACAGCAGAGCAGCAGAGAAGAGTGGAGATGTGTGTCATGTCCTGTCCCCCAACTCCCCCCCCCCCACTATCAACAGCACATAGAACACAGAAGCCTGGGGTGCTACATTCGTAGTCTGATTTTACAATGAAGCCTCATGGAAACCACAGACGAGGCATTTACAAAGAAAAATCACTAGAAGTACAAAGCTTATGAAAGGCACTTTGGTCAATGGGTAAAAACGCAGCATCATTGGGCCAAATCACAAGCCATCACAATCAGAAGCCTCTTCTAAGGGTGTCACACAGAGCTGTCACTTCATCGCTTCCTATGAGGAATCTCTGAAACCACAAGAGGACATCACTGAAGAACAAGCCAACACTCCTGGTAAGTGACTTGCCAAAATCAAATGGCAGGTAAAGTGATGAACCAGAAACAGAAAAGCATGGATTCTGAAACCAGATACAAGCAGGTTGAGTCAATGACACTCCAGCTTGATGTCTATGGGCAAAAAATTCTCACTGTCAAGTTTCATCAGTGGAGGAGTAGATAGTTAGCTCCCAGAATAAAGGCAAACACTTCCCAGGGCACTGGGAAGATTAGATATGAAGTTCTAATAAATGGTAACATACAGGAAATGAAGGCATTGTTCTCCACACATCCTAGAAAACTAACACCACCATCCTGGGATGCTTCTTTTAATGTTTTCATTTCACTTGAGTTTCTTTTCACTTAAAAAATCCTGACACTTTATTCAAAGCCATATTTGAATTTGTGCCAAGCCAGAAATGACTCCCCTACAGACTCATTACCTCTATAGCTTTGGAAAAACATGTTTGTTTCTATTTACTTATGCTAAGAACTCAGTGGTTCTCAGGTCTAGAACATAAGAGATTTCCCAGAGGTCAGCAATTGTGTTGCCTTCCCACCCTATGCTCCCACTATGTTTTTATTTGGGAACTATTTCAACCCATTCAGTAGTGACAAGTGGCTGGGTACCAAGTCAGCCCAGATGTTCCTCATGAAATGTGTGTCACTGAAACATGAGCTGTGGAATCTGAGAGCAGGGCTCCCTACAACCTTCTTTTTCAAAAAGTAACTCAAGTAAAAAAAAAAAGACAAAAATTTACTTTTATTTCAGTCCCTGGAGCCCTAGGTAGTCTGGTGTCCAGGTAATCACCTCTACCTGGCCTCATAGTACAGAAGAGATGGGCTAGGAACCCTAGCACAGATCCTTTCCAACAGTTTAAAAAGCTCCCCAGGAGATGCTAACACAGTCTGGTTTAAGAACCACTATTTGAGAGGAATGAAACACCATTCCACAAGAGACACAGAAAGGCTCAGTGAGATCACAGCTACCAAAGTCCTTGGGGTTTTTTTTGGTGGGTCGTGGGGCTTGAACTCTGGGCCTGGGCGCTGTCCCTCAGCTCTTCAGCTCAAGGCGAGTGCTCTACCACTTGAGCTACAACGCCACTTCCGGTTTTCTGGTGGTTTATTGGAGATAGGAGTCTCACGGTCTCTCCTGCCCGGACTGGCTTTGAACCGCGATTCTCAGATCTCAGCCTCCTGAGTAGCTAGGATTACAGACGTGAGTCACCAGCGCCCTGCTAGTCCTTGGGGCTTTTAAGAAATAAAGTATTTTAAGGTTTTTCCAAGTCACTTACAATAATAACAACTTTGAAAGAGGTTTTCAGCTGTTTTTCCAACTTGCTAAGAAGGTCAAAACTGATAATGTTGACCAAGCCGGCTGTCAGGCGACCCTTTCTGGTCACCACCACATTGATATCCTCTGGGTTCAGAGATGGCAGCCACTGAAGGAAGGCCTGATGGTGACAGGAAAGAACAAAGTCATGATGGTGACAGCAGCTGCCAGCTGTGACTGCAGCCCACATCATCAACAGCACTTTGTCAACGTGAACAAACTAGAACATTCCCTAAAATGAACTCAGGTCTCTCCTCCACATCCTCGTACACCTGCTGGAATTCTGGCCGTCTCTACCTGCACCCATGACCCACTGTACCCTCCTTTGCCAATAGGCACTTTGTGTGTCTGCTTCATCCCATTGATTTCTAACTAGACAGTAAGTATCTGCTGCAGCAGAATATTATTTTAGAGTGGGACTCCTGTAAGAATTTTATGAAGGACCCAGAAGAGGCTTGTACATTGAAGGCAAACTATGTTTATTAATAATGATGAGAACATCTATGTCAGTAACCTGGCCCCTTCCGAAGGCCCTCAGGTGTCTCCACATCAGCCTCTAAGCATGCAGATTCTCCCTGTGTTGCCTGGGCCACACTGTTCTGACACTGGAGATGCTGGCCTTTTCTCTGTCCTGGCCCTGCTCAGAACCATCTATGTGATGGCTCCCTGGAATTTCTGTGGTGCTGAGGAATCTAATACATGGGAGTCATGCATTCAATGATTGCTTTCTATCAGCACTGGCAGAATCCAGATCACAAGGCCAGGACAAAAATAAAATACTGTTTCAAAGAACTTTGCACAGAGGCCTTAGGAAGAAGCCAAGCTGTAGGAAACTGATGGCTGACACCAGTTGCCTACAGCCTAGAAGAGCTATGGATGATAAGCTAGGCCTTCCTTTTTCACTGAGTTGTCTTTCAGGGACTTGATGACTCAATGTTCACATCAGGTCTTCCATCCATTTGGTTATTTTGTTGACAGTGAACATACCACCACACCACCCTCTACATTTAACCAAGTCCTGCTTTGCTCCTCATTAGCCTGAGGCATGGCACTCAACTCTGTGAAAGTCAGTTTGCTCAACTGTAAAGGAAATGGCTGCCTGTGGTCTCATGGGACTAAGGGAGACAAAGGAGGTGAAGATAATCTGGAACTGAAATGTGTCACAGATAGAAGGCATTATTCCCAGGGGCCAGAGGTACTGCAAGTATCTGCTGAGGTACTGGCATATGTCACTCAGTTGGTAACTTTTTGACTTTCTTCCCTGGAGATATAACCTGACTAATTCAGAAAACTATTAAGCCTACCCTGAGGGGCCAGTTATTTCTCTCCCTGCCCTTCAAGATCCCAGGCCTTGTCTCCAAAGTGTTATTCTGATGTTCTAGATGTAAAGATTCCAAACCAAAGAAAACCTACCTGTTCCCAGGTGAAGCGCACAGAGGAAGGCACCACCACAAGAAGCGGCCACTCCTTCCGGTAAAAGGCCGCTATGCAGATAGCTTGGATGGTCTTCCCTAGGCCCATGTCATCGGCAAGCAGCAGGCGGCCTCTTTTGGCTATAGCAAAACTACAAGCAGACAGGGAAAGTAAGTGGCACAGGAAATGCTCTGCCCCATCCACTTTAGGTAGCCTGGCCTCATGCAGAGTGAAGGGGATCACTTGTTGCTGGCTGTTACACCAGCTAGCATGGGCCCTTCTCACAGCAAAACTCTCCTTGAAGAGAACTAGAAAGGAGCCAAGGAGGGGTGCAGAATAAAAGGAAATGAGAAAGACATTCAAGATAGGGAAGACGTGGAATGAAGAAGACGTGCAGGGAGCTCTAGAAGGCAAATGAGTCATGAGAATAGAGGGAGGAGGTTTCAGTAAGAAACATCAGCCTGGGGCTGGGAAGGTGGCTCAGTGGTAGAGCGCTTGCCTTGCATGCTCAAGACCCTGGGTTCGATTCCTCAGCACCACATAAGCAAACAGAAAAAAGCCGGAAGTGGGGCTGTGGCTCAAGTGGTAGAGCGCTAGCCTTGAGCTGAAGAGCTGAGGGACAGCGCCCAGGCCCAGAGTTCAGGCCCCACGACCGGACCCAAAAAAAAATTAAAAAAAAAAAAAAAAAGAAACATCAGCCTGAACCAAGCACAAGCAGCCCAGGGCAACATACAATAGGGTGTGATAAGCTGTCCACAACCAGGGCTATGGTTCCCTTGAAGAATATACCCAGGAAGAGCAAAAAGAAAGTAGAGCTGGTGGTATTAGAAGTAAGATATTCTGAAGGTCAGAGTGCACTCTGTATGCATAAAGGAACAGGGCAGAGCTGGCAGGAAATGCTGGAGAAAAGGGAATGACAGGAGCCAGGTGTCTCAGAGGAAGCATGGCCTTAGCACTGAACAGGGTTTTTCAGGAACTGGCAGCTTCCAGGAGCCTAAAGCCCTTAAGTGCACTAAGCCTTGCTAATAGTCTGCAGATGAGGCTGGAGCCCACTATTTTGGAACCAGATTGGTTTGGGGGTGGATCCTAATTCCACCATAAAGGTTCATATACCTTTACACACCCTCAGCAATGAGATAGAAATAATAGTGTTGCCTACCCCACAGAGCAGTTAAAGAAAATACAAAGTACTTAAAATGGTGTGTAGTCCCTTCCTAAATACTAGGAAATGTTTCTATTATAACCATCATTGCACAAAGCGAGACATAACCAGGGTACAGACAGTAAAATGACTTGCTTCAGTTAAATCACTATGATGCTAAAAGGATCTGGAATGGCAGGCATCTGCTTCCCTGCTTCAAGAAGTACATCTTTTTATGTAATTCTTGTTCAGGACCCTGGTGATAAGTCTATGGAAGAGTTCTTTTTCTTTCCTTCCAACTCAGAAAATCACCTCTTCTAATCAGCAGCTTGTATGGGCCCATAAGAATTTCTGTTTGCCTGGAAATCTTGTTTCCTAAAATGGAAAAAACAGAACAACAACTCTGGAGACCAGAGGGAGTACCTCAGCAGGGTGTAGGCCACAGGTGTCATGTCAGACGATGTTCTTCTATTAGCCACATCAGCCACAGTGAGAGAAGGCACCCTCTCCCTAGTCAGCACACCCCCCTTCCCAGGAAGGCAGGACCCTAGTAGGGTACTACTTCCCTCCTCAGAACAAGTAGGCCTCCTGCTGCACACCTCCCTCCATGAACTCTTCTAGATAGTTCTATGATCAACCCACAGTACAGATGAATGGGGGGAGAAGGGGGAGGCAGGTATGAGAGGATTCCTGTCTTATTACATTTCCTGATGTGTAAAATTGGTGATCAGGTAGGATAGATAGCACCCAATAAACAAAATCCACAGATACCCAGCCCTTCTAAGTGCCCCTGTCTCTACTGTCTATAAGTTACAGATGATTTGGCCCATTTAGACATCATTAAATGAGAAAGGATCCCTGAATTTCATGTTCTTTCCCTTTTCCCTGTATTAAGGTACCCAATTAAGGGGGTTGGGGAAAAAAGGCAACAAAGAAAAGGCATGAATAAAAGAAATACAGTTAAACACATTTTCTATAGTTCAGTATGAAAGAAAAAAATGCTTCAGAAACAACAGATTTAAACCTCAATTCTTCTTGCTTCATTCAATAGGATAATTTAGCTATTAGAAGAAGCTGATACCTCTAACAGTTCTGTTCCATAAATGTGAAGATGCATCTAATTCTTACTTTAAAAAATAGGGAACATCTCCCTCTGCTCAAGACTAAGCCTCTATTTTCAGAGGCAAAAGTAAACAAACTAGATTTAATTACAAATATTAGAAGAAAGACTATTTGAACAGAGAGATAAAGAGATGAAAATAGCTAGCCATGCCCTGGTCCCACTGCTACAGCTGTAGTCACACGGGCCTGTGACACACTTGTGTGTCCCACACAAGTCTCTTAAGTGTATTGAGATGAACTGGTAATGCCAGCATTGACCATGTGGACCTAGGAATTCCTACCAGAGCATGAAAAGCTTGACTACCATAGACAGAGGTTGAAAACCAGGGTGTGGGGCTGGGCAATTGCCTCTGCTTTAGTGAATGAGACACAGGAAGAAGAAAAGGTTTATTCATGGGAATAAATCATACTGAGCCTAGTAAAGTTGAGGCCCAAAGGACATCTCAACAGATGAAGTTCTGCAAAGTGTATTTTCTGAGGAAGATGGGAGGTAGGGAAAGGAGGATAAGGGGTGTACACAGAACAAGGGCTGTGGGGATGGAAAGTGTGGCAATGCCTAAACAACACACAAAAATAAACATCCCGTTGGGCTCTGGTGGCTCACTCCTGTAATCCTAGCTACTCAGGAGGCTGAGATCTGAGGATCGCGGGCAGAAAAGTCTGTGAGATTCTGGTCTCCAATAAACCATCAGAAAACCGAAGTGGCCCTGTGGCTCTTGAGCTTAAGAGCTGAGGGACAGCACCCAGGCACAGGGTTCAATGAGCTCCACAACCGATAAAAAATAAAATAAAATAAAAATCCCACCAGTGAAGTAGCCAAACTTTTACCACAATACCACACTAGGCTCCAGGCAGGCCAGCTCCACATCTGTCAGTCCCACTGACAACTGAACTTCCTTGCCTTGCCTGGAGTTCTGTGTCCGGCCGCACTGTCTACCAACAGCTCTAACTCTCAATATTCTGGGCACATCACCAAGACCTTCTTTCTGTTCCTTCAACTCCTATATTTTCATGAAAAAACTAAGTTTGTACCTGTCATTTCTATTTCTCAGCATCTTTAAGAAAAAATAGGATATGTCAGAGCATGACTTTTATCCTTTTTCCTTTTTTTTTGTTGGTCATGGTCTTGAACTCTGGGCCTGGGCGCTGTCCCTACACTCTTCAGCTCAAGGTGAGCACTCTACTGCTTGAGCCACAGTGCCACTTCCAGTTTTCTAGTGGTTTACTGGAAATAAGAGTCTCACAGACTTTCCTGCCTAGGCTGGCTTTGAACCGTGATCCTAAGATCTCAGCCTCCTGGGTAGCTAGGATTATAGGTGTGAGCCACCGGTGCCGGACATTCTTTTTCTTTCTATACCAAGAACATTCTTTTATTTTATTTTAATTTTTTTTTGGGGGGGGGAGTCCGGTCATGGGGCCTGAACTCTGGGCCTGGGTGCTGTCCCTCAGCTCTTCAGCTCCAGACTAGCACTCTACCACTTGAGCCACAGTGCCACTTCCGGCTAGAACATTCTTTTAAAGAGCCACTCTCAGTCCTCAGAGTTTGGATGGGGTAGACCCTACCTCTGGCTCCAGAGACAGGCCAATCTCTGGGTCTCACTGACAAGACTTCAAGCCTTCTAAGTCACATGACTAGTGATGGCATCACCACCAGTCTTAAGCCACAGCAGGTCAGATTTATCAGCTCAAGCTGGGTTGCTCAGATGATGAAATGCAACCAGAAGCTCCTGGCATGCCTAGCTGCTACATGGAGGAGCACCTAGAAGACAGCAAACTAGGAAGAACACAATGCTGAAAAGGGAAAACAGAAAATGTTGATGAGATCTTAGATAGCTTGGATTTTCTGTTCATGTAACTATCTTTCCTGGGTTTTGCACACCTGCAATCCAGACTTCTAGTGAACTCATGGAATTTGAAATCAATCGTTACAATAAGGCTTCAGTAAAAGGACACCTGGCTATTTTAGAGCCTAGGATGCTTCTAGCCATGCATGCCAGATGAGAGTTCACAGAGAAACTTTTAACCCAGGCTATGGAGTGATGAAATTCAAGCAAGAGAAAGCGAAACGAAGATCAAGAACGTACTTAACTCCAGCTCTCTGAAAGGGCATCAGATTAGACACGAGCTTGGCATCCACTCCAGAAAGGTCGGCCTCGGGGATGTCTGCTGTGAGATGGAGAGATGTCTTCTCCAGCTGAGAAGCAAATGCCAGGGTGACAGTCTTGGGCAGAGGCTCCAGCTGAACCTGTGGGAGGCAGCGCACCTCTGCAACTGCAAAGAAGAACAGAGGCATGTGAGCCAGTGGCAACACCCAAAAGATCTGGGGGAAGGTAAAGGAGTTTGGTATATACATTCCAGGCAGTGGAATTATGCTACAAACCTTCTCAAGAAGGTTAAGCAGAGTTCACACCAGCGGCTGATACTGGCAATCTGGCAGAGCATATAAACCCACAGAACCAGTTTTCTCTCTATTTCTGAGTTTCTACAAATAAAAGGGTACTTGATAATGTGAAAGTGATTTGACATACTATACAGATTCTGCAAAGAACTAAAAAGTGTCTTTTTTAAAATGTTGCCAAGCACTGGCATCACATGCCTATAATCCTAGCTGAGGCTGAGATCTGAGGATTGCAGTTCGAAGCTAGCCTAGGCAGGAAAGTCCATAAGATTATCTCAAATTAGCCACCAAAAAGCTGAAAGTAGACCACTAGCCTTGAGCGAAAACACTCAAGGACAGTGTCCAGGTCCTGAGTTCAAGCACCAGGACCAGCAGGAAAGAGAAAGAGAGAGAGAGAAATAGAAGAGAGAGTAAGAGACAAAGAAAGGAGGGCAGGTGGGCAGAACAGTGCCACTTACAAATAGGGAGATCAACAGGCAGAGTCTGCATGAAGTCCACAAACTGGTAAGAATGTAGTTTTGCATTTTGCAGTAGTGCTCTCTGTGGTAAAGTAGCTCAAGTAGGCAATGGTCTGCAGGCAATTTAATAGCTCAATGCATAGTTTCTAAAGTAGGGCTCAGCAAGCTAAGTACTATGAGCCATGTCAGTCTGCTTGTTTTTCTCTTTCCTTCCTCCCTCCCTCCCTCCCTCCCTCCCTCCCTCCTTTCCTTCCTTCTTTCTCTCCCTTCTTCCTCCCCCCCTCCCTCCTTCCTTTCTTTCCTTTCTTTCTTTTTTTTTTTCCAGTCCTGGGGCTTGAACTCAGGGCCTGGGCACTGTTCCTGAGATACTTTGTGCTCTACTACTTGAGCCACAGTGCCACTTCTGGCTTTTTCTGAGTGGTTTATTGGAGATGAGTCTCACAGACTTTCCCACCTGGACTGACACCTGGTTTGTTTTCCTTTTTCAGGAAAAGTTTTATTAGAACACAGCCATGCCACTCACTATGGAGTGTTTAGGGCTACTCTTACATGACAACGGCAGAGTGGAGCAGCTGGGACTAAGACTGCATGGTCCACAAGCCTTATGTATTCAATACGTGCAAGTTACTGGACTAGGAGTTATAGCTCAGTTGTAAGATCACATGCCAAACAGGTAATAAGGCACTGGGGTTTGATCTCAAGCACTCTCAGCTAAGCTTAAGAGTCTTCACTATTAGTTGGGGTGACCATTACTTAAACTCCTTCAGTTTGGTCCCCCCTTTTTCCCTTCTAAATGAGCTGGGTCTAAACCCTTTTATCACACATGAAGAAATCTCTTCTATGCAAAGCAATTAACCCAATAGAAAGAAAATATACATAGAAATTAAAGCAAATTAATTTTACTATAGAGTTGAAAGAGTTTAATCTTACCTGATTTCAAAATTAAAGAAGAAAAAAATCATATCTCTATTCAACAGAGAAACAAAATGAACAAACCAGAGATTAAAACGTTAGACAAACAACAACGATAGACAAGATGATCTCTGGTAGAAGAATGATTAAATAACTAATCATAGCCTACAGGTCTATGGAGCTTCTCTTTTTATCACTTTTCTATTTAAAAAAACTAAGCAGAAGAATAAGCATTATTTACAAATATTCCCAATTATTTTTTTCCTCTTTTCCTTTTCCAAGGAGTCAAGTACCCCACCAACAGGTTCAATGTCCTCAGGTGTCCAGAAAAGAAACCAGACAGTGAAACTAGACATATTTCATTTCTAGCATTACTTGAAATCCCAGGGTTGTTGGCTCTCTATTCCCTATAGTCAGGCATGATCACGTTTTCTTAACATCCTCACAAGACAGTCCAAGAATCCTTGGCCACACCATCAAGTTGTTAGCAGGGCAAATGCTGATGGAAATATTCAGGGCAACACCACCCACGGTTGCCTTCAAATTGCATTGCATTTTCAATGCATTTAAATCTATTTCTGTCCTTCACTGAATAGAAGTACCAGTTATTTCTGGAAAGTTTCCAGGTATGGTAATAGCTTTAATATAAAATAGGCTGTCCATGTTGTTGAAAGAATATGCTTTTATACCTCCAAATTAAATCCAAACATGCTGATTTCTGTGCATTTCTGGAGGCTGAACTTGCAAAAGACCATTCCCATTTTAATCCTAGTCATCTTCAGAACTCCAATATCCAATGAAAGCTAAGAGCTGGTGATCCAGCTAGTGTGAAATGCAGTACTTTATACCAACCAGGTTCCTTGAGCCTCTCAAAAGGGAAGAAAAATCCAACCACCACTGTGTCTACCACTAGCTCCTGCCTCCAAAATCCTATGCTCCCAGTTTAGCCCACTGGGTGTGTTTCTGAGAATGCCATCATTCCTGGCCAATGGCTGTCTCTATTGTCCCTTCCCTGGTGGTGGGAAATGACAGGCATGTACTGTCTGGCTTCATGAGTCATATAGAAGTCATTTCTGTAAAAAGATCTCTGGCAGAATGCTACTAGCCACACAGCTGGGAGAAGCTAATGTTTTCAAATAGCAGCTGACAAGACAAGATCGTGGAGAACCCTTCTGGACTGTGACAGCCGGGAGAAAACAAAAGGCCTCGTGCCAATTTCACTATGGGCAGAAGGCCTCAAGTCACTTGAAAAGAGAAGAGAAGGAAGCTCTTAGATTCACTTTTCTACACTCGCCACACTACAGAGTACTCACAGACTCAGGCCTAATTGCCATTTCTTAATTAGTTTCCAATGCACAAGCTCAGGGTCAGTAATCTAATTTCCCACACAAGGAAGGAGACCTCAGGGTGAGGAGAGTGCACACTCCCCAGGTCGACAGCACTAATGGTAGAATCAGAACTGAATTGGGATCTGTGCTGTATTCTGTAATGCCTTCCCTTCTCAGCTTCTTAGTTCAATATAGCTCACTTCTAAATTTCATAATGGGTTATGTTACTAATGCAGACGGCAATGTAGTCTCACTAAAATTTCTGTCACTGACTTTCCTGTGGCCCTGCAATATTTCCAAAAAGGAAAGTAGCTCTTTGCTCCCGCTACTCCCAGGCCCAAGCTTTTATCCATCGGCAAAATTGGGAGGTTCCATCTTACCTTCTAGGAGACATTGTAACAAGGAGAAAGCCTGTAAAAGCTCTAAATCTAGGCTCCATGGAATTATTAATGTCAAACGCAAACATAATGAGTGCTCATTATGTGCATTTTTTCCTGAGTGAAGAAGCCATTGAGTTCATTAGTGATTTTAGAGCCTCTGGTCCACACACTGACTAGAGACTATCACATAATGCTGTGAGTCACGAGTCATTGTTTTCTACCATTACATTCATCCACTAGTGCGCTAAGTATCCTGCCTTTTGTCATTCCACAAAAGCCAAAGTCTTTATAGCAAAAAAAAAAAAAAAAGACAATGATGTAAAAGGAAAGAATTAACTCTTATTTCTCACCAAAAATACAGTTTTAGCTGGGCCCTGGTGGCTCATTTCTGTTCTCTCCTAGCTACTCAGGAGTCTAAGATCTGAGGATTACAGTTCGAAACTAGCACCGATAGGAAAGTTAGTGAGACTCTTATCTCCAATTAACCACCAAAAAAATCCAGAAGTGAAGCTGTGGCTCAAGTGGTTAAGCAATAACCTTGAGCAAAAAAGTCCAGGGATAGCACCCAGGCCATGAGTTCAAACCCCAGGACCACAGCCCCCACCCCAACACCCCCAAAAAAATTATAAATTGCAAATAGCGGCAGCCAGGGAGCTTCAGATCAACACTGGCTGTGCTTTGTGTTTGAGCCAAGCTTTTCCTGACACTAAATAACATCACCACATATTTAAACTTAACCATGTAGATTATAGCAAGTCCTTCCTCAAGGAAAACTACTGGATATCACACAGTCAGTCATATAAGTAGGAGACACAGGCAAGGAATCCAACACTTCCCTCTTTCTTAAAGCCCTAGACAGATAGGCAAGTAGGCCAGGGGCTCCTAGCTACCAAGACAAGGTCAGGTCTTTGCTGGCTGACTGGTCTCAACCACCACTCCTGCCTGGGAGGCCTGACAAGCCCACCAGTGTTAGGCAGGGGAAACATAAGCTGAGCCAGGTGAACACTCACAGCACAATCACCACAGCTTAGAAGATGAGTGAGACTGACATTTCAAGACAGGGTAAAAGCAAGGCCCCCTCTGTCAGGCATATTAGAATTTACAGTCCAATCTAAGCAGAGCACACAGAAGAAACATGGCAATCCAAATCCTCCACTATAGTCATGATACCTGTACACACAGCCCCTCCCCCTGGGCAGTCTGTAAAACATCTGTTAAACTGCTTTGTTTCTGGCCTAGACTTCTGCCCATGCTGAGTCCCATAACCACTGAGACTCTGCTACTTTCTTGATCAACTGGTTCTACACATAGACTGAAAGCCTGTTCCTAGAGGTCATCTAAGTAGTTTCCATCTGAGCTAATCAATCCCAGTGCATCTCCCATTCCCCATGTCCACACCCCTCATTTCCAACCTGGAACAGTTTCCTAGGCCTTGGAATTTTAGGAGCACCATTTCACCCTCAAGGACAGAGGGTTCTACATTGTTACGGGCTATCACAAAGCCACTACATGTTAGGTAGACCTGGACAAGGCTGCCCAAGAACCCACCTTTACCTATCCACTCCTCAAGCATCTGAATGACAGCATCAGAGGGAGGAGGAAACTCTTCAAAGACATTACAGTTAAGGCAGACTCAAAGCTTAACAACAGCAAGATTAAAAAAAGTAAAAAGCAGCAAAAGGGTTTCTCACTTAGTTTATTGTACTCTTCCAAGAGAAAGCTCCACTTCCTGGTCTTGACATCTGCAAAATGAGAAGAAAGCAGTAAGCAAACTGGATACGCTGTCCTCCCACTACTCTATGACATTCACTTATTTGTTCCTTGACTTCAAAACTTCCAGGATGCTCTGAGGACGTGGCTGGTCCTGTGCCTAGCACTGAGGATATAAAATTAAGAGACTTGCCCTCAAGACATACAGAGTAAACAGGGAGGAAACACAATTAGAAATGATGGCAACCCTGGGCTGATAAAGGGTGTTATAGGGCGCAGGCCAGAATGCCTGGGTGCCAGCTGCAGCTCACATGTACTCAGCACTTACTTCAAGCCACGCCTGGTACCCGAGCAGGGACTTGTGAGATCTGCAACTCACAGCTCTAGGAGGTGGGCTCTCTTATCAGCTCCATTTTACACAGGGTCAAAACAGTCAACTCACTTATACTGAAATCCCAGCTCCACTTCCTACTAGCCTGGAGACCTTGGGAAAGTTATGTAAAATCTTGGTGCCTCAGTTTCCACATCTTAAGAATGAGGATGCAAGCCAGGTGCCAGTGGTTCACTCCTGTGGCTGAGGAGGCTGAGATCTGAGGATTGTGTTTCAAAGCGAACCCAGGCAAGAAAGTCCATGAGATGCTTATCTCCAATTAAACTACTCAGAAAAAGCCAGAAATGGTACTGGTGGCTCAAGTGGTAGAGCATTTTAAAAAAGTATCATACATATGCTAAGCTAAGGACAAAATTCAGGATGAAGCTCAGAAGCTGATTCCAAAGCTGTTTCTGTCCCTTATTCTGGCTTAGTGGCTTTTGAAGAAACATACATAAACACATACACATACAGAAACACACTCGCATGTGTGCACACACACACACACACACACACACACGCATATGCACATATATACAGAAAGAAGAGAAGGAAGAAGAGCTCTGGTATGGCCAATGTTTTTTAATTCTGGGTAAGTAGGCTCAACTGAAGGTTGGGCAGGAACCAGGCATCAGTGTTTTTGAAGTAGCCCAGTGAAACTAATGAAAGAAAGCAGCCAGAGTGCAGAGCCCACAGCATTTCAGACTCTGCAACGATGGCACCTGGTCAGTAACAGCAGAAGCCGCAATACCAGGGAACTTGTTTGGAAACCTCAGAAACTGGGCTCAGTAACATATGCTGTATCAAACCCTCCAGGGGTCTCATGCACACTCAAGACATTTCTTTTTAAGGAAATCACTGTCTACTCTGGTAAGGCTGAAAGATTTAAATAGCCAAGTTCCACATAAACAGAAAAGGCTGGAAGGGGCACTGTGGCTTGGGTGGTAGAGTGCTAGCCTTGAGCAAAAGAAGCTCAGGGACAGTGTCCAGGCCTCGAGTTCAAGCCCCAGGACTGGCAAAAAAAAAGATTTAAATAGCTGAAGCAGCAATTACCTGCATTTACCAAGACAACCATGTCCAGGCACCAGGAAAAATAGTAAGGTCTTCTCTTTAGGAGAAGATAAAATGGCTCCTACTAATGTTCACTATATGGAACAATTCAGGTGTCATCTTCCTGTAATATGAGAAGGAGAACTAAGGGTGCTCTATGACAAGAATCACTCCCTACACACCATGAGAATCACAGAGACCAATTACTTGCCATACTGTCTGGAATCCATCTGCTTAAACAGCCCAATGAGTTCCTCTGAATAGCCGATGTCTACCTCAAAGCGGGCCCGGGAAATGAGTATGCATCTTCCTTTGACAAAGGCCAGGGATGGAGCTACAGGCAAATTGGTCTGTCTTCGACTGCTGACATCAACCTCTTCCAATGGCTGGAGTGTGACTGTGGGGAGAAGTTTAGCTGCTTCCACTATGCAAGAAAAACAGAAGGACAAGAGTGACAAGATGAACAACATTAGACAAGCTTCACATAGCATGCTTAGGTAAGCAGGAGGGGCAGAGGAAAAGTATGGCAGTGACAGAGTCAAGGAGGAATTAGGTTTGGCAGCTTGGTGAGAAAAGGCACTGTTTGATTACAAAGGCTGATAAATGTTCTTTAACTGGGGCTTTGGAACTTTCACTATGGACTGAAAGCACTGAGAAGAGTGATGTGTGCCCACAGTCCGAGCTACTTGAGAGGCTGAGGCAGGAGGATCACTTGAGCCCACGAGTTGGAGGCTAGCTTGGGAAACAGTGAGAACCTGATTTTTTTTAAAAAACACTCTCAATGTAATTTTTCTGCTCCTTTAATTTTTCAAGTAAAAACAATTAGAATTCAAGTCAGATGTAGGAGTGCATGCCTGTAATTCTAGTTATTTGAAAGGAAGGAAGGAAGTTCTTGAAGGCCAACATAAGCTACAAATTGAGTTAGAAGCTAGCCTAGGAGAGACAAGGCCTCAAAAACTGCATATGTATATATATATATATATGTCACACACACACACATATGTATATATGGGATAACTAGTGGTAGAGTGCTTGCCTAGCATGAACAAGGTCCCTAGGTTCAACCTCCCTTAGTCCAAAAAATTAAACAAATAAAAGATTGAAAAAATTCAAAGAAATTAGAATTAAGAAATTAACAGGGGGAAGAGTTCATCACAATGAGCACATTTTACTTCCTAGGTAAGTCATGTGTTGGAGAAATTTCTGAAATCAACATACCACCCTCACTGAACCCTCTTCCCAGCTCCTTACTCTGTCAACTGCTTGGAGAACAAGGAATGAGAAGGAAGACCAGCAGGTCACACTCATGGTTCTGAACATTACCTGTCACTGATGTACTTTATGGATTTGATTACATACAGCTAAACTGTCAAAAAAAAAACCAAAACAAGATGAACTAAAATGGAAAAACTGCTAAGAGATTTGCAGCTAGGTGCTGGTGGCACATGCTTGTAATCCTAGCTACTCAGGAGGCTGAGATCTGAGGATCTTGGTCTGAAGCCAGCCAGGGCAGGAAAGTCCATGAGATAAACTACTTAGAAAGTCTAATAAACTACTCAGAAAAAGCCAGAAGTGGTGTTGTAGCTCAAGTGGTAGAGTGCTAGCCTTGGGAAAAATAAGTTCTGGGATGGTGCCTAGGCTTTGAGTCCAACCTCAGGACTCGGGGAGTAGGTGGGGGGACAGAGAGACAGAGACAGAGAGACTTGCAAGAAATATCATAAAGCATAAAAGCACATGCTTAAAAAGTATTAAGACCCCCAAAAAACAGGGAAAAAAAGGACAGAAATATAGTCAATTCAAAGCAGGAGGGAAAAGGACTAGAAAATATTTGGAGAAATGTCCAACTTCATAAATAATCAGGGAAATAAAAAGCTTTATTTTTTAACCTATCAAAAGTTACAAGATGAAAAAAAAACAATTAGGCTAGTCTTGTATAAACTTGCAATATATACAAGAGCTGTAAAGCATGATGATAGAATCCAAATTCTGGAAATTTAAGCCAAGTAACAACTGAAAATTCAAACATCAATTCCTGCAGAGATGTTCCTCAGAGTTATAAAACAGGAAAATTGGGGCAAATTAAATAGGAAGTAAACAGTTTAAGCAAGTACAACCCACTCATACAATAGGATGTCATAGACATTGATACATGTGTGTGCAGTGCGTGTGTGTGCACACACACACGTGTGCACACACACACGCGTGTGCAAGCATGCACACCTGCGCGCGTATACACGTACCAGTCATAGGCCTTGAGTTCAAGGCCTGGATGCTGTCACATTTTTTTTTTTTTTTTTTTTTTGCTCAAGGCTAGCATTCTACCCCTTCTATCACGGCTCCACTTCTGGATTTTTGCTGGAGATAAAGAATCTCATAGACTTTCCTGTCTTGGCTGAAACAGCGATCCCTAGATCTCAGCCTCTTGAGTAGTTAGAATTACAGGCATGAGCTACTAGTATCCAGCAAATTAATTTGCTTTTAAACAAGAAATTTTGGAAAGGACCAAAGTACAAAAAATGTTATGTTCAATAATATGAGATCAATTTCTGAAGGTCACAATACTCCATTATAATAACCAACACCCACATTTTCATCATTCTGAATTAACTACAGACAATTAAAAAATTTAGCCTGGAACAGTGACTGAAAAAGGCAATATACACATCACATACAAACATAAAATCTGTTTCTTCTAATGCAGGGAAGAAAGACTGGAAGAAACACAAATGTGAGTAGTGGCTGAGTATAGATTATGTGAGTTGTATATTATACCCTAATCCCCTTTGCCCAGAAATGAAAGTGTGGCAAAGTTAAAACACAAAATCCAGATTAGGGATGTAGCTCAGTGGCAGAACACTGGTCCCACTTGTCCACAGACCTAGGTTTAATCCCGAACAACACAGAAAGAAAAAAGAAAAGAAAAGCCAGCCACCAGTGCCTCACACCTGTAAGCTTAGCTACTCAGGAAGCTGAGTTCTAAGGATCACTGTTCCAAGCCAGCCTGTGAGAAAAAGTCTGCAAGACTCTTATCTCCAGTTAACCAGCAAAAGCTAGAAATGGAGCTGTGGCACAAGTGGTAGAGTACTAGCTTTGGGCAAAAGAAGCTTAGAGATCATGCCCCAGGCCCTAAGTTTAAGACCCAGAACCAACACACACACACACACACACACACACACACACACACACACACAAATAAAATAAAAAGAAAAAACAAAATCTAGATATACTTAAAGCAAAATGATAGAAAGACCGATAGACTATCTTTACATTTGTATCGGTAAAAAGTATAAATAGGCTAAGAGTATAGTTGAGTAGTAGAGTACCCATCCACCATGTGCCAGGCCCTGGGTTATATCTGTAGCACTGATTAAAAAAAAAACAAAAAAAACAAAACGCAACCTACTAAAAAGACACAACAATGATAACTCTCTATGTGAAACATAGAAATATAGGGACAAATTCACTAATCCCAAATTACTGTAGTCAATTTCAAGGTATATATAGAAGAACTAAACACTTTATCAGTAAACTTCATCTGAAAGCTATATGGGGAATTTTGTGTCCAATAAACACTTTTCAAAAAATATGTGAAGCATTACAAAAACTGATCATTCCACAGAGGAAAAAAAAAAGGCCACCAGAAACTGTGGTTGAATAGGAATAAAAGATGATAAAAACAAAGAAAACAGACTAGACACTCTAGGTGTCAAAACCAGTTATATGAGTCTCCTCCTTCTAATGCTGAACCAAATGAATTAAAAATGGGCTTTCCAAATAGGGCACAATGGCTCATGCCCATTGTCCTGGCACTTGGGAGGCTGAGACAGGAGGGGCATGAGTTCATGGGCAGCCAGTGTTATACAGCATGACCCTCAAGAAAAGAGTGAAGGCCTTCCCAAAAGAGACCAGCCTCAGTGTTGCAGGTTGAATTATGTCCCTCCAAAACACCCATGCTGGAGCCCTAATCCCAAGTACTTTAGAATGTGACCATAAGTCTTCCAAGTTAAATAAGGACATTAGGGGTGGGCCCTAATCCAAAATGTTCACATAAGAAGAGAGAAAATCATCAGAGATTTGTATGTGCAGTGGACATGAGAGGACAGAGAGAAGCTGGACCTCTGCTAAGAAACTGAGATCTTCAGTTGCAATTTATTTCCTCTAAGACCATGAGGAAATACTATTGTTAAGTCCCCACTCTGTTACAACAACCGTAAGAAACTATTCCAACAGCAGCCACTACTAACACCACACGATTCAAAGTAAGAGCCTAAAGGAAAAGACCAGGAAGTTTTGCTACAGAAATGATACTAGTGACCCCAAGGAATTATACTGTATTATCAGAGAAGTGGTCTGAGCATACACCATTTTTTCTCTGTTTTAAATGGGTGTAGAAAGGGCTGCTGGAAGGATTTGTAAGGTGGAAGATGAGGAGACACAGGCTGTTTCTTTTTGACAAAAATATTAGGCACCGGGACAAGGGAATTAAAATGCTGGCCAAACCTAGAGAATGAAATTAATGGTCTAGGAAATTTATTTAACAGGATCCTAGCAGAGAACCTCCCAAATATGCAAAAAGATAGGCCTATTCAGCTTTTAGAAGCTTTTAAAACCCCAAATAGACCAGATCAGAACAGGACATCCCTCTGTTACATTGTAATCCATACAGGATCAATTCAGACCAAGGAAAGGATCTTTAAAGCTGTCAAGGAGAAAAGATCAATCATCTATAAAGGGAAAACAATCAGAATAACCTCAGATTCCTCAGCAGAGACAATTAAAGCAAGAAGAGCCTGGAATGATGTGTGCCACACCCTAACGACAAACAACTATCAACCAAGAATACTGTACCCAGCTAAACTCTCCTTCATAACAGAAGGTCAAATAAAAACCTTCCATAGCAAAGAAAAATTAAAACAATATATCTCAATCAAACAGGCCCTACAAAAGATACTTATAGAAAACCAACAAGAGCACAAAAAAAGGCCAAGAAACTGCACCCAAACAGAGAATCCAAGAATCATAGGAAGAACCCAGTTGTCACAGCCCCCATGAAGGCGGATAACATGGCAGGAACTACCTAACACCTCTCAGTCCTAACTTTCAATATCAATGGGTTTAACTTTTTAATTAAGCAACATAGACTGTCTAGTTGGATTAAAAAGCAAGATCCTTCTATCTGCTGCCTTCAAGAGACACACATTGCCCATGAACACAAACATATCCTGAAAGTGAAAGGCTGGAATAAAATCTACCAAGCAAACAGCCCCCATAAGCAGGCAGGAGTTGCAAACCTAATATCAGATAAAATAGACTTCAAATTAAAATTAATGAGAAGAGATAAAGAAGGTCGCTACATACTAATTAAGGGATTTCTCCTTCAGGAGGATATTACAATTCTAAGTATTTATTCACCAAACAACAGAGCACCCAAATTTATCCAAGAAACACTACTTTTCCTCAAATCTCACATAGATCCAAAGACATTAATTGTTGGGGACTTTTAATATACCACTACCACTGCTGAATAGATTAACCCAGCAAAAACTCAACAGAGAAACCACAGATCTAAACAACTGCATAGACCAACTAGACTTAACAGACATCTACTGACTATTTCATCCAGCAGCATCAGAATACACATTCTTCTCAGCAGCACACAAAGCAAATTTGTCCAAATTCAGAAACATTGAAATTATGCTCTGCATTCTCTCAGACCACAGGGAATAAAATTAGGAACTCAACACCAAAAGCCACCAAAGAAAGTCCTGTAACACATGGAGGCTGAACAACACACTGTTGAACCACCAGTGGGTCACGGAAGAGATCAGAAAGGAAATTCAAACGTTCATGATACTTACCAAAAATGAACACACAAATTATCAGCTCCTCTGGGACACAGCAAAGGCAGTACTCAGAGGCAGGTTCATAGCTCTGAGTTCCTACATCAACAATTGGAGAGATCTGAAACCACCAATTTAATGAGACATCTGAAGTTCCTTGGAAAAGAGCAACAAGCTAAACCCCAATCCAGTAGATGGAAACAAGTAATTAAATTAAATCAGAGGGCTGGGAAGGTGGCTCAGTGGTAGAGCGCTTGCCTTGCATGCATGAGGCCCCAGGTTCGATTCCTCAGTACCACATAAGCAAAAAAGAAAAAAGCCCGAAGTGGCGCTGTGGCTCAAGTGGTAGAGCGCTAGCCTTGAGCTGAAGAGCTGAGGGACAGCGCCCAGGCCCAGAGTTCAGGCCCCATGACCAGACCCAAAAAAAAAAAAAAAAATCAATGGCTTTTCTACATGCTAACAATGAGAAGAACACCTTTGAAATCAGGAAAGCAACTCCATTCGTAATAGCCTCACAAAAAATAAATACCTAGGAGTTAACTTAACCAAAGAAGTGAAGGACCTCTATGATGAAAACTTTAAAAACCTGAAAAAGGAAATCAAAACAGAACTTAGAAAGTGGAAAAACTTCCCATGCTCCTGGATTGGGAGGATCAACATCATGAAAATGGCAATACTGCCCAAGGCTATCTACAATTCAATGCGATACCTATCAATATTCCAAATTCATTCTTCAAGGAAATAGAAGAGGCAATCCAAAAATTCATATGGAACAATAAAAGACCCTGAATTGCAAAAAAATGATCCTTAACAGAAAGAACAGTGCTGGAGGAATATCAATACCAAATTGCAAACTCTACTACAAAGGCATAGCAATCAAAACAGCTTGGTACTGGCACAAGAACAGACCTCAGGACCAATGGAATAGAACTGAAGACCCAGAAATAAATCCACAGACCTATAGCCACCTAATCTTACATAAGGGAGCTAAAAAATAGAATGGAAGAAAGACAGCCTCTTCAGTAAATGGTGCTGGCAAAATTGGTTAATCACCAGTACAAAACTAAAGCTAGATCCTAATATATCTCCCTGCACCAGAATCAACTCCAAAAGGATCAAAGACCTTGGAGTCAAAGCAAACACCCTCAAAACATTACAGGAAGGAATAGGAGAAACACTAGGGCTCCTTGGCACAGGCCAAAATTTTCTTAATAGAGACCAAGAAACACAACAATCAAAGAAAGGTTGGACAAATGGGATTGCATGAAACTGCAGAGCTTCTGCATGGCAAAGGACATAGCTACCAAGATCAACAGAAAGCCTCAGGATTAGGAGAAGATCTTCACTAGACACAACAGACAAGAGTCTCATATCTAAAATATACTTGGAACTCAAAAAATTAAATCCCCCAACAACAAATCCTCAAAGAAACAACAGCTCGGTAAATAAGTGGGCTAAAGACTTAAAGAGAGACTTCTCTGAAGAGGAAATAAGAATGGCCAATAGACACATGAAGAAATGATCAACCTCTCTAGCTATAAAAGAAATGCAAATCAAGACAACATTGAGATTCCATTTCACCCCAGGTAGAATGGTTATAATCAAGAACTCTAATAACAACAGATGCTGGAGGGGATGTGGCCAAAGGGAACCCTACTGCATTGCTGGTGGAAGTGTAAACTTATTCAACCACTTTGGAAAGCAGTATGGAGGTTCCTCAAAAGACTCCACATAGAGCTCCCCTATGACCCAGCAATCCCACTTTTGGGTGTTTACCCATATGATTACAAACAAGACCATACTAAAGCTATCAGCACAACTATGTTTATTGCAGCATTATTCACCATAGCTAAGATATGGAACCCACCCAGATGCCCCTCAGTAGATGAATGGATCAAGAAAACGTGATACACACACACACACACACACACACACACACACACAATGGAATTCTATGCCTCAATCAGGAAGAATGACATTGCCCCATTTGTTAGGAAATGCAAAGACTTGGAAAAAATCGGATGTGAGGGCGATCTGGCTGCGACATCTGTCACACCATTGATCGCCAGGGTTGATTCGGCTGATCTGGCTGGCTAGGCGGGTGTCCCCTTCCTCCCTCACCGCTCCATGTGTGTCCCTCCCGAAGCTGCGCGCTCAGCCGAAGAGGACGACCATCCCCGATAGAGGAGGACCGGTCAAGGGTATACGAGTAGCTGCGTTCCCCTGCTAGAACCTCCAAACAAGCTCTCAAGGAAAAAATCATATTAATTTAAGTAAGGCCGAAAGAAACATAGGTCCCATGGTTTCCCTTACTAGCAATAACTAGTATAAGTTTAGGACAAGCAGAAAAGGTCAAAAGCTATGTATAAATGACCATATAAAATGATGTTAAGTGAAATGAACCCCAAGATAGGGACAATAATGGTTTTTTCTTGCTTGCTATTGTTTTTAACATATTTATCATGTACTATGTGATTTTTTGTTTCTTTGGTATGTTCCTCCCCCATGGTATAACCCGTTTTCACTGTATTTGATGTCAGTGCCCTGCATCGTGTATATACATTTTTCTAATTTGGGGAGGGGAAGGGAAAAAAACAAAATGCTTAAATAGAGATACAGGTTGACCCATTGTAGTAATGAGATGTATAAGACACTATGTTGAAAACAAACTTTACAACTTCTGTGGGGGGAGAGGGGGTGGGAGGCAGGGGAGTAGTTGGGGAGGTGGGGAAGGAAGGGATGGTAGGGGAAAAAACAAAGGAGGAGGCAAAAATGCTTGATAAAAAAAATGTACTCGGGCTGGGAAAGTGGCTCAGTGGTAGAGTGCTTGCCTCGAATGCATGAGGCTCTGGGTTCGATTCCTCAGCACCACATAAACAGAAAAAGCGGGAAGTGGTACTGTGGCTCAAGCGCTTGCCTTGAGCTGAAGAGCTCAGGGACAGGGCCTGGGCCTAGAGTTCTAGACCCATGACCGACAAAAAAAAAAAAAATGTGCCGGGGGCTGGTGGCTCACGCCTGTAATCCTAGCTACTCATGAGGCTGAGATTTGAGGATCGCGGTTCAAAGCCAGCCCGGGCAGGAGAGACTGTGAGACTCCTATCTCCAATAAACCACCAGAAAACCGGAAGTGGCGCTGTAGCTCAAGTAGTAGAGCGCTCGCCTTGAGCTGAAGAGCTGAGGGACAGCGCCCAGGCCCAGAGTTCAAGCCCCATGACCGACAAAAAAAAATGTATTCAATACCTTACTCATGTAACTGTAACCCTTCTGTACAGTATTTTTAGAATAAAAACGTATGAAAAAATAAAATAAAATTCTGGCCAACAAGATCTCAGAAGACAGTGGTGGACCCAGGGGTGCTGCAACCACTCTCGGCATAGTCTAGTCCTTCCTGGGCAGTTCCTCTCTGTACTCTGTAGTTTGTGAATTGGACGGTGTCATTTGCTGAGTTGTGTGATCTCTCCAGAAGTAGCACACCTGGCACCACTGCCTGACACCACGGGAGGCTGGCAATGTCCAATGGAAAGATGCAGTCTGCAGTTTGGATCCCAGTTGTATAACTTATTGGCTATGTGACCCTGTATAAATTATTCATCCTTTACGGGACTCAGTTTACCCATCTGTAAAATGGTTCTTATAAGGGGAAAAAAATAATGTAACTTAAGGACTTAGAATAGCCTAGTACATGTGACAGATAACATGTAGGCTTATCATGGCTTGTAGGCTTATCAGTGCCTGCTCAAATGCTTCTTCCCATAATACCCTGGGTATCTGCTCAACCAAGGAAAAGAGCTGGAATGGCACATGCACAAGCCATCAAGCAATCAACACAAAGCCCAAGGGAGGAGATACTGGAGGAAAATTACTCGCCAAAGCACCCCCCATGAGGCACTAGCCTTAGTTGGAAGCAGCATGGGGATAATGCCCTGAAAGTTTTCACCGCCTATAAAGCCAGACACCAGCTAAATTGTATCTCCTACTCCAGAGAAAATTTCCAATGCAGGATCTCCCTCCACAGGAGCCAAGGATGAATCTACTTACTCAGGGCATTGTAGTCTGTCAGGCTGAAATCCCATGTTTTCGTATCTGGATCTGCAAAGAAACAGAAGGCTGATGACTCTTGTTTTCATCTGTGCTTGGGCACTTAATAAAAGCTTGTTTTCTGACTGAGTGATAGATGCCAAGTTCAAAATATGACCAGCAAGCCCCTACAATCTCTACAGAAAACAAATTGCAGATATAGATCATTCTTTTGTTGCCTTCTAATAGAATTGGACTAAGACCCTGGAAAAGTTACAGGCCTTATTTATACATGGGCTGAAGCAGAGTTAGGACTAGAATCTAAATTCTCCATGTTCCAGTGCAGCCAGGCACAGCAATATGAAAATGAGCAGCCACATCCTGCCGTTACCTCCAGACCAACCAAAGCATGGTACTAACCTTTCCAAGTCAGTTCCATCGCTCTAAAATTTGGGCTGGGCACTAGTGACTCATGCCTGCAATCCTAGCTACTCAGGAGGCTGAGATCTGAGATAAAAATTCAAAGCCAGTCCAGGCAGGAAAGTCTGTGAGACTGACATCTCCAGTTAACCAAGAAAAAGCCAGAAGTGGAGCTTGGCTCAAGTGGCAGAGTGCTAGTCTTGAAGTAAAAAAAAAAATAAAGCTCAGGGGCAGCACCTAGGCCATTAGTTCAAGCACCAGGACTGATACACACATATACATATACACAAAAAGAAGTTGGAAAAAATTATGAGTATAATAGTACATCTAGAACACCTGGTAGAGGAACTGGCTTCTTAGTAAATATTCACCTGCTCTCTTCATGGCCAAGCAGGAGCTCCAAAATATGGCAGCTGGTGGAGGCAAGGACTATTATAAAGGGAAATACCAGCTAAAATAGAAAAAATGCATGTGCCAGTGCATTCTCGCAATATGTATGAGAAACCATGATTACAAGATTCCAAAAATAGAAAAAACATCTGCAGAACAAAAGCCTCATTACCATAACGTCTGCTGGGCAGACTCTTAAACACTGCAATGAGTTCCTTGTTGTAGCCAATCTTCACCATGAAGCGATCTCCATTCTTGATGCATACCCCCTTCTGACAGCTTACTGGGTTTTGGACTGAGGCTCTCAATTTCTCTTGAAATTTTCCTTTTATCTTGGACGTCACACCCCCTGAGTTATTATGAGTGTCAAAAATGCTCTGCCCAGATGTGGATGGTTTTACAGTCTTGACCTCAAATTCAGGATCTCTAGGAAGTGGTCCAGAGGAAGAAGCAGGAGTTTCCTGGGAATTCTTTGCTTTGGCCAAAGGCTTATGAGTTGTATTAGTCACAGGTGTTGATTTGATTTTATCTGAAACCTGAGTATGACTTTGACCTAACTTATAGCCCAAGAGCTGTTGGTTAAGGATGTTGGGAGGACTTTGTGCCAAGGGGGGAGAGAGCCTACTAAGAGTTGTTTGACTTGGTGGGCTGCGGCTAGGACAGGCTACGGATCTCTCTTCTTGGCTCTTCCATGTCCTCTCAGCCTGGTTTGATGTGCTGGGCTGGAAATGGTGGGAATTATGAAGTCTTTGGTCATCATGAAATGAGTTGCTGAGATTCTGTTGTTTAACAGTGACACCATGGCCCACTGGCTTAGAAGGCTCCCTCAGGAGATTCTGAGAAGGGCCTTGCTTGGGCAGAGAAGGGTTGGTAGCAATGGAGGATCCAGAGCCTTGGCTTGAAGGCTGTTCTGCTAATAACTTCTCAGCTCTACGAGCAAGAGCCTTCTGTCGATTCTCTTCAATCTTCTTCTTCTGTTCCTCAGTAAGAGGCAAAGACATTGTAACAGGGATATGTCTATGCAGGAATGTCAACCTTTTAAGTGGGAACTTGACAGAAGCTGTGACAAAAACAAACAAACAAAAACAAAAGACTGAAATAAACATTAAACTTGCCATGCTCCTTCCTTCCTTCCTTTTCTTCATTTCTTTATTGTCAGTCATGAGGCTTGAACTAAGGGCTTGGGCGCTGTCCCTGAGCTTTTCTGCTCAAGGCTAGTGCTGCTCTACCACTTTGAGCCACAGTTCCACTTCTGATTTTCTGGTGGTTAAGTAGAGGTAAGGGTTGCATGGATTTGTCTGCCTGGATTGGCTTAAATTCATAATCCTCAATCTCAGCTTCCTGAGCAGCCTGGATTACAGGTGTGAGTCACCAGTGGTTGGCTTCTACCTTGATTTTTAAGAAGCTTTTGTTCTGGGAAATGACTAAAGGACTTTTAAATTTCTGTTATAATCAAAAAGAAAGTGCACGCACAGGGGTAATAGGCAGCATATGCTAAAATAATGACCTAAATGAAAAAAGTATTCATCAAATTCAAAGCTAAAAATAAGGTATTTCACGGGGCTGGGAAGGTGGCTCAGTGGTAGAGCACTTGCCTTGCATGCATGAGGCCCTGGGTTCGATTCCTCAGCACCACATAAGCAAAACGAAAAAAGCCCAAAGTGGCACTGTGGCTCAAGTGGTAGAGCACTAGTCTTGAGCTGAAGAGCTGAGGGACAGCGCCCAGGCCCAGAGTTCAGGCCCCACGATCGGACCCCCCCAAAAAAAAGTATTTCAGCTACAATATTTTTTCTTTCCCATCTCCTAGTCAAGGAAAAGTTATCAGACCCCAAGAAAGTTCTACAGTATAAGCTAAATTTAACAACAAAAAAAGGCAACATTTTAAACTAGAAAGGATATCAGACTAGACATAAATAGACCAAACAACCACATACCATGGTGTGATTCTTGCTCAAAAGAACTCCAACCTGGAAGAAAGAAAAACCATTAACCTCAAATAGACTTACACCCTCGTTTTTTCACCTTGCATTTAATCCTTTGTGATCCTTGGTAAATTAATCTGCATGTGACCCAGTGTGAGCAAGTTAGTCCCTGAATACAAATTCAGCAGCAGTGACTTTTGGGGGGGAAAAAAGGGGAGGAGGCGGCGGAAGGATGTAATATTCTTTATAAAAATCCTCATGCTAACTTGGGAGGATAAAATCTGGAGGACTGCAGCTTGAGGTTATCCTGGGCACAAAAACTTACCAGATCCTCTTCTCCAAAATAACCAGCAAAAAAGCAGGGTTAGACGTGTGGATTGAGCAGTGGATTGTGCAAACCTACACAAAATGTAAAGGGGTAAACTCGCCAGCCATAGAACCAACATTAATTCAGACTACAACACAGTTCTTGCCTTTTTCTTCCTATTATATTTTTATGCAATACAGGAAAGTAGGATCGTTCTGTACATTTTATACTGTCGTCCCAACTTTTTTTTTCTCCCATTAATTTGCTCCTAGACATTTTACTGAGCTGGACCATAGGAATGAGGGAGTCAGACCGCAGTTTCTGTGTCTGGGCTCAGGAGTAGGGTCCTCAGATGTCATGCATGTATCTAGATACTGCATGTATCTAGTTAGGCCTCTGAGAGAGGGACAGAGAGTCACAGGTTAACTTCCCTGATTGGGGGGGGGGCTTCCTCTTGCCGGAGCACCCCAACACCTCAGAGAAGTTACACCTCCTACTAGAGTGGTTAGGAAGGAGCTAGGTGTGTGTTGCCAGTACACAGCAGAAACTCTTCCTGGGTCAAACACTCTAGTTCTGTTTCCAGCCACGGTTTTCCTGAACTCCCAAACTTCGCAGGTTGGAGACCAGCGGATGAGAAGTCCCAGACCTTGAATTACCACCCCCACCCCGGCCGCCCATCTGAGCTGGGGCCTCTGTTCCGCTCGATTCCCCGGTGAGCCCCTTCTCAGCTCGGCTGCCGACGTCCCAGTCCGCCCCTGTTCCTCTCCTCTTGGATTCTCCCACTTGGCCCCCGCCTGCCCCCGCCTCCAGGCTGGCATTTGGTCTGGTCCATCTCCTCTGCCGCCTTTCCCCCGTACACTTTCTCACCCGGCGAGGCCTAAGATGAAGGTTGCCCTCGCAGCCTCGGCCAGGCGCTTCTCCGGAACCCTCCACGACTAGTTTTCGCTTCCAGCCTCGCGGTTGAGAAAACTGTAACTGAAGCGCTGCTAGGGGAACTGGAATTCAGGCACTGCCTGCTAACCGGCCTTGCTGCAGCGGCCTGACCAAGAGAGCTTTGTTGCCTCCGAACTACATTTCCCAGTGGGCAACGCGGCCGAAGTTCTGATTCAAGTAACAGGAGTGATGAGACTGCTGCAGGGCCTTCTGGGAGTTATAGTTTTATGTGGGTAGTCTGGCAAGAAATAGAAGTGACGCAACGTCAGGAGGCGGGAAAAACAGGAGCGGCGATGCACCCTGGGAGCTGTAGTTCTCAATCCTCTCTCCCCCCCTCCCCCCAAAAAGCGTTTACCCAAGCTAAAAGATCCTCAAATAGGATATTGAAGACTCCAAAACCGGTTTCATGATCAGAACTGCCTCTGGAAAGCAATCCAAACATAATGATTTGGTAGCTCTTAATACAAGTATTTCCCAGAACATCCATACTTCGAATTGCTACATTTGCAATGTAAGCCCCTCCCCCTTCTTCCCGACACTTGCTGTCCCAACCCTTGTCTTCCTGGACCAAAGGAGAATTGGAGTGGTCTTTATGATTGTCACCTTCTTTGGCAGTGCTATCTGTTAGGTTTTTAAAAAGAGGTAGCCGAGTAAGAACAGCACCAGCACGCACATGGTATTCAAGTAAGGGGTAGGTTTATTCAGTAAACCTGCTGGGACCAGGCAAGATTGGCACTCCACACGGCTGGCAAAAGAGGGTGTCTGGCCCCGGGTTAGGCCTTATATAGGGTAAGGGCGGGGAAAGATGTGTCCAGGTAAAGGGAAGTGGGATCAGGTGGGAGAAAGTGTGGCCACATCAGATTAAGATGTGAAGTCTCCAGGTGTCCCAGTTGCCTAGGTAACGCAGGTACTGGGAGAGGTCTGTTCGCCTTCCAGGAATGGACCTTACACTATCATCAGCCTTTTAAGCACCTTTGAACACCCAATTATGATTACATATTGATGGCAAATTGTTTCCTATCCTGAATATATCTGTAAAAGTTGCTCATTTACAAAGAGGCAGCTCTCTTCTGCATGGCAAAGGACATAGCTAGCAAGATCAATAGAAAGCCCACAGATTGGGAGAAGATCTTCACTAGCCATACAACGGACAAGGGTCTCATATCTAAAATATACTTGGAACTCAAAAAATTAAATCCCCCAACAACAAATACTCAAAGAAACACCCCCCCCCCATTAATAAGTGAGCTAAAGACTTAAAGAGAAATTTCTCTGAAGAGGAAAGAAGGATGACCAATAGGCACATGAAGAAATGCTCAACCTCCCTAGCCATAAAAAAAAAAAGCAAATCAAAACAACATTAAGATACCACTCCACCCCAGTTAGAATGGCAAAAATCAAGAACTCTAATAACAGATGCTGGAGGGGATGTGGACAGAAGGGAACCTTACTGCATTGTTGGTGGGAATGTAAACTTGTTCAACCACTTTGGAAAGCAGTATGGAGGTTCCTGAAAAGACTTCACATAGAGCTCCCTTATGACCCAGCAATCCTCTCCCCTATGACCCAGCAATCACACTTTTGGGCATTTACCCTAATGTTTACAAAAAAGATCACACTAAAGCTACCAACCAGCACAACTATGTTTATTGCAGCATTATTTACTATAGCTAAGATATGCCCCTCAGTAGATGAACGGATCAAGAAAATGTGGTATATATACACAATGGAATTCTATGCCTCCATCAGAAAGAATGACATTGCCCCATTTGTTAGGAAATGGAAAGACTTGGAAAAAATTATACTAAGTGAAGTAAGCCAGGCCCAAAGAAACATGGTTTCCCTTATTTTCAATATCTAGTATATGTCTGAGAGAAGCAGAAAAGGTCAGGTAAGGTGATATTAGGGAAATGAACCCTAAGATATGTATTCAAATGTTTTTTTTTCTTTCATGCGATTGTTTCTAATGCACTTATAAGATTATTTCTTTGTTGCTTTGTATGTCCCTCCCCCACAGTATAACCCCTGCTTTCACTGTATTTGATGTTTGTATAATTTGTGGAGGGGAAGGGGAAAAACAAGTCCTTTAAATGAGGATACAGATGGACCTGTTGCAACTATGAGAAGTACAAGTCACTATGTCGAAAACGAACTTTACAACTTTGGTGGGGGGTGGGTGGGGAGGATTGGGTGGAAGGGGGGGGGAGTATGGGAAGGGATGGGAAAGGATGGGAAGGGGAAACAAAGGAGGAGGCTACAATGCTTGATAAGAAATGTACTCATTATCTTGCCCATGTAATTGTAACCCCTCTGTACAGTATTTTCACGATAAAAAATAAATAAAAATTAGGAAAAAAAAAGCAAAGAGGCAGCTCTCACTGTAAGGATCTGGAAAATGGAAATGTCATATTAAGAAAAAAGGAAAGCAGGCGCCGGTGGCTCACGCCTGTAATCCTAGCTACTCAGGAGGCTGAGATCTGAGGGTGGAGGTTCAAAACCATCCCGAGCAGGAAAGTCCGTGAGATTCTTCTCTCCAATAAACCACCAGAAAACCGAAAGTGGCACTGTGGCTCAAATGGAAGTGTGCTCACCTGGAGCTGAAGAGTGCAGGGACAGAGCCCAGGCCCAGAGTTCAAGCCCCATGACTGACAAAAAAGAAAAAGTACAAGTTGTGTAGGAGAGGGGAGTGGGGGAAGTGACGGGAGAAGAAGAAATCCTTGTAAGTACAGAGAAAGTTCTAGGAAGGAGGAGGGTTGGATGGAGTACATGTTTCAACCGTTTTTTTCCTCCTGAATTATTTGAATTTTCTTACAGTAATCATGTAGAACTTGCATGACTTGAAACTTATAAGACACTGTTGAAATGACAGACTTTGGCCTTCTTGCAGGATGTGAGACTTAACAATAGAAAGTGTTCAGATCTCAGCTCTACACATCCTTCTAATTGGCCCTATAAACATAGGGACTGAGCCTTCATCTTCTATTCGGTAGAGATGGAAAATAACATCTCATTAAACCTTCTTATTGTTAGATTGGAAGCAAGATAATATAGGGAAAATGCTCAGTAAATGGTGAAATACCAGAACAGATGTGAGAGGGGTGTTGGCACTTCTAGGGTCAATCTTAGAATTCTGTATACGCACAACCTAGTTCCTGCGGTATTGTGTGAATAGATACTAATCAATGAGTTAGCCCTGCCCTTCCTGCACCAATAGTCAATTAATTTGCTAAGAAAGCCCTTCACCATGTTGTTTCATAACATCATGCTCTTTGGATTGGTGGATCCTAATTGTGGATGCTTAGAGTTCGTCTTAATTCATAGGTCTTCAGTACATTCATAAACCCTAATTTGGGAAGTCTCAAATTGCTCTACAAGATGTGACTTACTTTTCTAGCTCTAATGTCTTAAAATTCTAGGAATTAAAATGAAAATTCAGTGTAAGATATTATCTATGTGAAAATGGAACTGCGTAACTTGAGGGTAGGGATGGGACTGGCAAAGCTGGAGGAGAATGGTGGAAAGGGTGACATTGATCAAGAGGCACTGCGCTCATAGCCAGATTTAGGGAACTGAAACCTCTTTGTACAACTTAATTTTTTTAAAGAAACAAATATTATAGAAGCATATTAACTCTTTTTTTTTGTCAGTTGTTGTGGGGCTTGAACTCAAGGCCTGGGTGCTGTCCCTGGGTGTTGGGAGCTCTTTTTGCTCAAGGCTAGTGCTCTATCACTTTGAGTCACAGCACCACTCCAGTTTTCTGGTGGTTAATTGGAGATAAGAGTCTTGCAACCTACCTTTTTTTCTCTCTTTCTTCCTTCCTTCCTTTCTTTCACTCATTCGTTCATTCTGTTTCCCCCTTCGGTCGTGGGGCTTGAACTCTGGGCCTGAAGGCTGTCCTTCAGCTCTTTAGCTCAAGGCTAGCACTCTAGCGCCACTTCCAGTTTTCTTGTGGTTTATTGGAGATAAGAGTCTCACAGACTTTCCTGCCCAGGCTAGCTTTGAACCGTGATCCTCAGATCTCAGCCTCCTGAGTAGCAAGGATTACAGGCGTGACCACTAGCATCCGGCTTTGCAGCCTTTCTTGCCTAGGATGGCTTTGAACCACAATCCTCAGATCTCAGCTCCTGAGTAGCTAGGATTACAGGTGTTAGCCACCAGCTCCTGGTGCATATTAACTTTTGGTTTCCTTTACAAATATATTTCCTGATTTTTTCTTACTTTCTTGTAATGCTTTTGCTTTTCTTTTATTAAACCAAAAAAATTTTATTTTCAGAAATAACTTAATCAGATTCATGTCTTTTGTTTTTCAGAAACAGCAATTATATCTTGCGATTATGTGCAGGTTTTTTTAAAAAATTCTATACTTCAGAAGTTATTACAACAATTTATAATGAAAATGTATTCTATAAAAATAATTTAAAGGCCTAGAAGATGCACAAGAGCCAAGGAATGAAAATAGAAGATAGGATACATGTGGCAATTCAGTTCCAATTTTATTTTGAGTTCCCTGGAAGCTAAAGCAAAAATTAAGAAGGCATGCAAGCCTATCAACTGACCAGCACAGCTGACATTCCAAATATCAGCTGGACGGTGCCAGTAGAATTGGAACTTTACATGGTTGACTTAGAAATGAACAAAAGGACAAATAGGATGAACATTTTGTAGAGCTAAATACTTATTTTTTTTGGGTGGGGGGGTCCGGTCGTGGGGCCTGAACTCTGGGCCTGGGCGCTGTCCCTCAGCTCTTCAGCTCAAGGCTA